CGGTAGTCGCTGGGAGAAGCGTGTTTTGCCCGACCGATTATATTCTGGAATTGAATTTCTACTTTTGAGTCAAGGCGTTATATAGCAAGTTCAAGCTGATAACCTGGAATTTGGGGTCCAGTGTTTCCATACTGATTTTTCCAGGCTTAGCAAATGCTTTCTTACTATAATGCATAACTGATCTATAGTCATAAGGTTCATTGTAGGTTGTTGCTCTTGACAGGGGGATTGTCCTAAACTGGCTCCAGTAATCTGAAAATACACTCTAACCTAGGATGGGAACTATAATGGGGGAGCCATTTCGAGCCTACCTCGTTCAATGTTCTCGTAATGAACCTTGATGTACTTATCACGATCATAACGCATATGCTCATGCCACAATCCAATCACATGGAGCAACTCGTGCTGAACTGTCCGTTTTATCAAGCATCTAAATTTGACAGAACACTTTATTGTCCATCATCTGAGATTGTAATTCTTTCTTAGCGAAAAGTACCGTGAAGAGCGCTTACTAGGCACTAAATTCTTGCATGCGATACCTTCCACGTGCATAGCACATTTCACCTAATCAGATGAACACTTGTGGTCCAAAGTTCACAACAAGAGGGTCGGATGGTTCATTTAACCGTCTTGGGTAATGAGGTAACGATAGCTGTGCGTCCTGAGGACTTCTTTGGACCTAATGTGGGATTTGTTGTTCTACATTGGACATACAAATACAGGAGTTGAGCTTTTTTATTTTCGTGAGTGCAGAAGGAAAGCTCAAGTTAAGCTGATATTTTGAAATACGGTTGGACCATTGCTATAAACCTTAGGTTGAAGCAGAAGTTGACTGAGACGTGAAAACAGATTTCCATTGCTTTAGAATACCTGCATTTTTCAAGCGTAGCCTTGCCTAGGCACTACTTGCGCTCTTCCAAAGAATGTGGTTGTCAGTAGACCGACGAAAATATTATTGATTGATATTGATGAGAACGATATGATCCAAATAATACCAACTCAAAAGTCTGAGTGTATGAAGCCTACAATACAGTCACGACTGAAATTGGTAAAGCTTTCGCGCAACTACTATGCAGCATCCTTAGTGGAGATTTGCCTTGTGAGTGTCTAACAGTACCGTATACGCGCAGCTCGCACGCTAGTTAGATTTATAAACCGATAGTAGGTGCTTCTTAGACTTACGTTCGTTCGTCGTTTGCTTCGAGCATCAGAATACTTCTACCGCCGGGACGCCCGACGTATTTGTAACATCTGAAAAAAGCTCAGCTAGGATTGCTATTTCTCACAGGTAGATTGTTTGCCCTCCTAGCACTTACCCTTCGAATGGCTGATTCTGTATCTCAACATAATCTTCTTCATTTGCCCTCGGTTTGAAACGAATGCATGTATTGACGTGGATAAGCCTCATCGCTTCTTCAATTATCCGTCGCTCCGACGTTCCTTTAAAAGGATTGATTTATTATGTCAATGTTTAC